GACCTCACAGCACATAGTAATGCAAAGTCTATGTAGCATCATGTGTGCTGTACTGTGTGGTGGATGTCAGTGTGTGTGTCTCAGTTTGTGTGAAGGAGAGATCAAAGTGTGTGTCAGTGTGTGATTGAGAGTGTTTATGTTTTACTATCAATGGAGAGACAAATATTGAAGAAATGCAAAGAGCAATAAACAGATTCAATGGGTAATCCCTCAGCGAGATGAGTACAGCTGTGTGTTTCACACAAGTACAGTTTGTTTCAGTATGTATGTTATGTGGGTTACAATTCTGTGTGTTTTAGTGTATCTGTGTGTCATAGGCACACAGACGTGTGCATGTTTTAGAGGTGCGTGTGTATATCAACGTGGTTTTATTAGACTGGTATATTGGAGATTGTGTTTTTGTATGTCTTTGGGAAAAAAGAGTGTATTACACACTGAATTGGAAAATGTCTGTGTATTCCAATGAATTTATAACACAATGTGTCAGAATGTGTATCTGAGAGTGTTTCTCGGGACAGGTTGTGATGTGTGTGTGTCTCTCTTATAGTTCTGACGGGTTGTGATGTGTGTGTGTCTCTCACAGCTTTGACAGGTTGTGGTGTGTGTGTGTCTCTAATAGCTCTGACGGGTTGTGGTGTGTGTGTGTCTCTAATAGCTCTGACAGGTTGTGGTGTGTGTGTCTCTAATAGCTCTGACGGGTTGTGGTGTGTGTGTGTCTCTTATAGCTCTGACAGGTTGTGGTGTGTGTGTCTCTTATAGCTCTGACGGGTTGTGGCGTGTGTGTGTCTCTTACAGCTCTGACGGGTTGTGGTGTGTGTGTGTCTCTTACAGCTCTGACGGGTTGTGGTGTGTGTGTGTCTCTTATAGCTCTGACAGGTTGTGGTGTGTGTGGTTATGTGCAGTGTGTGTTGTGTGTGAAATAGGGGAGAGGGGAGTGTATGAGCCCTGCTGCTAACATGATTGGAAATGACAAAATGTCAACCAGAGTTTGTTAGCAACATAATGGAGAATCAATAAACACAACAAAGATGTCAATACACCCAGCTTTATTACATTAAACCACACGCCCCTCTCCTTCCTCGCTCCCGCTCCCTCGCTGTCACTGTCTTCTGCTTCGCTTTTTAATTACACGGCAGTTTCTCACCCTCTTTCACTAGATTACAGCTGTGTAAACGCACAGCGCCAGTGTGAGACACTGGATTCTATATGTACACACACAGCGTCAGTGTGAGACACTGGATTCAATATGTACACACACAGCGCCAGTGTGAGCCACTGGATTCTAACTGTACACACACAGCGCCAGTGTGAGACACTGGATTCTAACTGTGCACACACAGCGTCAGTGTGAGACACTGGATTCTAACTGTACACACACAGCGCCAGTGTGAGACACTGGATTCTAACTGTACACACACAGCGCCACTGTGAGACACTG